TTCCAGGAAATTATCAGAATTCCAGGAAAGGGATCCCAGGAAAGAGTCCGAATTCCAGGTGGCAATGCCACTGTCCCCTGTGCCAGCGGAGGGTGTGACATTGTCCCCACCCCTGTCCCCATCCCTGTCCCCGCCCTGTCCCCATGCCTGTCCCCATTCCTGGGGGGTGGCACTGCCCTGTCCCTATCCCTGTCCCCATCCCTGTCTCTGTCCCTGTCCCCGGGTGTTAAGGTGTCCCTGGTCTGTGTCCCGTTGGTCCCGCAGGCCTGAGCAGTGACAGTGGCCTGGGCGGCAGCACGGACGGCAGCACGGACATCCTGGCACTGGGACCCGCGGTGGACAGCGTCACCGAGGAAGGTGGGTGACACCGGGACAGGGCTGTGTGTCACCTCTGGGGGGACAGCGTCACCGAGGAAGGTGGGTGACACCGGGGGGGACAGCATCACCGAGGAAGGTGGATGACACCGGGACAGGGCTGTGTGACACAGGGAGGGGACACGGGGAGGGGACAGCGTCACCGAGGAAGGTGGGTGACACCGGGACAGGGCTGTGTGTCACCTCTGGGGGGACAGCGTCATCGAGGAAGGTGGGTGACACCAGGCCAGGGGCGATGGCTTTGTCTGTCCCCTCTATGGTGTCACCCTCGGTGTCACCAAGGCTGTCCGGGACTGAGTGACCAGGACTGAGTGACCAGGACAGGGTGACAATGACTGGGTGACCAGGACTGAGTGACCGGGACAGGGTGACAATGACTGGGTGACTATGGCTGAGTGACCATAATTGGGTGACCATAACTGGGTGACCATTGCTGAGTGACCATAACTGAGTGACCACAGCTGAATGCCCGGTGCTCAGTGACTACGGCTGGGTCACCATGGATTAGTGACCATAACTGGGTGACCAAAACTGGGTGACCATGGCTGAATGCCCATTCCTGAGTGACCATAACTGAGTGACCACAGCTGAATGCCCATTGCCGAGTGACCACACCTGGGTTACCCCGAAACAAAACCCCCAGAACTGACCCCTCCCCACCCTGTGGCCGCACAGAGTGCGAGGCGTCCGAGGAGTCCAGCGGGGAGGCCGAGATCGAGCAGGAGGCGTCGGACGCGGAGGAACCGCGGGAGCTGCACCCCGAAAACCTTCACCCCGAAAACCTTCACCCCGAAACTTTGCACCCCGAAAACCTGCACCCCGAAAACCTGCAGCCCGAGTCTCTGGTGCACCCCGGGTCGCTGCTGCAGCGCGCGGCGTTAGCCCGCAACGTGCCCCTGCTGGCCGCAGCGCTGGCCCACGGCGCCGAGGTCAACTGGGCCAACGAGGAGGACGAGGGCAAAACGCCGCTGATCCAGGCCGTGCGCGGGGTACGGGACACTGCGGGAGTGACCGGCCGGTGGGAGGGGACACTGACCGGCC